AATGGAAAGGCTGGGTGGAGAAGTCAACGTTCCTGAAGAGCTGAGAGTAGAACAGCTGTGTGTGTGTGTGTGTGTGTGTGTGAGGCCCTAGAAGCAAGCTCTGTTTGTGTGTCAGAGAGAGTAGTGATTAATGACCCACAGGCCTTGTTTCTCTTGCTTCCTTCCTCAGCAACGATGTCACACACACACCGTCACATGTCAGCCTAATGGACATGGGCAGACAGTGGCGGGAGCTGCCCGTCGCTCCAGACTCACACACACATTAAGAACATGCATGCGTGTCAAAAATCCCATGTTTTTATTGAAAGAGAAACAAAACAAAAAGAGCACCAAATGTCACTGCGCGGTTCGTGGCGAGAGAGCCCACAGCATTCGTTTTGTGCACTGATTATGCGCAAGAAAGAAAGAAAGAAAGAAAAGAACAGGAGAGAAAGACGTTGTGCGTCAGAGAAAGGAGAATGTGCGGCTGAGAGAGAGAAGTCAGTGTTTGCATGTGTGCCGGTTCCCAGCCCTGTCAGTGAGCTGTCAGAGCGTGATTTATGGTTGTGAGACTCACAGCAGTCCTTGCTGCCAGTTCAGTATTGTTACAACTGACATCTAATGAGGCCAGACGTGCTTTCAAGCACAGCACTTAACACAGGCCTCCATCTCCACCAGTCACAGGCCCTCTTTTCTCCTCCTCTCTCACTCCCATTTATTTTCTGCATCTGGGGTGGCAGACCAAGGAAAGGAGGAAAGACATGGTCTTGCTGCTAGCATAACTAGTCTGGTGAGCAAGAATATCCTTTTCAAACTGTTCAATGCTAATACTTCAGTGTCATGCAAGAGCGGTCTTTAACCTGCTGTGCCTACCACACAAGTAAACTGTAATTGTATCATGACATGTCCAATCAAATAAATCAAAGAGCCTTCACTTGAAGAAACTCTTTGCTAAGAAACTCATTACATGGCGAACACTTCTAACCTAACCTATCTATCTAACCCTAATTCTGTGCAGTTAGTATAATAAAAGTATAATACTGAAAGCTAAACAAACATGGAAACATTTGGTTTTCATTAGTGCAGAGTAGCTTGGACTACAGTTTTTCCAGCCTCTTTGGAGACCCCCTTGTTGCAGTTATGAGATACATAGCAAATAAGAGAAAGTCACAACTGATAAATAAGTAGCAATTACGAGCTTGAAAACACAACGTCCATAACACATTGTATTCACTGGCACAAAAATGCTGTGGTTACTGGGACACATTCAAGCGTTGTGCTATCTAAATCAATATTTTTTTACCATCCTTACCATCCTTACTGAATCAGGGCCCATATTTTGCAACCCTCTCACTCCCATTTATTTTCTGCATCTGGGGTGGCAGACCAAGGAAAGGAGGAAAGACATGGTCTTGCTGCTAGAGCTTACAAAAACGGAGAGTGCAGATGAATCTGCAGTCAGCAGGCTTTTTTTTCCCATCTATCTCTCCCCCTCCCCTTGATACAAGCCTGCACAATGGCAAATTAAAGTAGAGCGAACCTTAATATACTGATGACTTTGCTTTGAAAGGCAATATCTCACCGTTTTTCTACGCCATTCAATTTTTCAACTGCTTAGTAATTGTTTGGAGGATAGTCTGCGCTCTGGTCTAATCATATTGGTGGCTGTGTCATTTTGAAAGGGAGGAGGAGTAATGCTGGATGAGAGCTCCTTGGCTTTGACTTTTTCCTGATCTTGGGTTTCTGCTCCGCTCCTCTTCGGGCTGCTAGCTTAGTCAGGACCCCTCGCAGTAATCATAAACAGAGCCGCTGGCAGCGGCACCCGCGTACTGCGCTCCCTCCCTACGCCCCCTGCTCCAGTTCCTTGTCAGACGTGATTAATGGCACACGGGCCCGGTGCGCTTTGCGTTGCCAGTTCCAGCGATGTTCCCTTGATACTTAATGAAGTCTGACAAACTTCTTTTCCCTCATTGTATTCCAGTTATTTTTCCCCGCTCCATTTAAGAGAAGCCCAATGTAGCTAAATTTGCCACCGCCGCACAAAAGCACAGGTCAAAGATTTCATATTTATTGCGCAGTCGAGGAGCGCAGCCTTTAACACCGCTGGCAACGTCGGCTGTTTCTCAGGCAGCTCGTGTTGTTGTTCATACTTCAGATTTGAGTAGTTTTGATTGCAGTCATTAGACGTTCCACAACTTCAGTTCCAAGAACTAAAGGTCGCAGTGGCCTTACAGGACAAGGTCTGCGGTGTCTCAAACACATGCGCTGATTTTACTTACTGCCATCCAGTGGAAGATCTTGTAATATATCTTTTTTTTTGTTACTGTGCAAAGATCCGTGGCTTTTTTTCAGAAGAGGCAGAACATAGAATATTACAAAATATAAGATTAAATAATGTGTAAATCACTAATTTTTCCTAAAGTAATGCAGTCCACTAGCAACAACGGCAGAAAAAAAAACAGGTTTGGCTGATTAGCCTGTCAATGCAATGATG